GTCACACCCTGGGACAAAATAATAATTGAACTATCAAGCATTGTATTTTAATTACATCCAATTAATAACAACCTTCGACAATATCTACAACGTACAAATGACCAAAACAAATGTATTATTTATCACAATTCGATAGTTAATTGCATTAAAGTGTCGCAGTTTAAATACTATGGAACAAAAAAAAAACATAGTTAATTTACCACTTATGTTTGACGTTTCCTTTCAACATATCGCTCATAAAATTCACTCAATCTTTCAACATTTAATTTTGCTTCATCAACCCCACCCCCCAAATAAATAGACCATTGCATTAAAATGGCCAAGTAATGCCCCCCCCCCAAATAAATAAATAAATACCAAACTATACCTTACGCCGTTGGCTGAAACACAATTCTATTTAATCAGAACAAACTTTAACAAAATATAATAACAAGAATCTACTGTAATATTACCACTACACCCATTTGTCCCCGATCTGACAATAAATATCACGTAAAGCACCCAAATCAATAGCAACAGCGAAAAATACGAATTCTTTCGAAACAGGAATTATAATTAATAGTACGTACATTGCGTTAATAGTTTTTTAATCGATTTTGCAAACAAAATAATTATATGCAGGTGCAGCCGAGAAACAGGTGGTATAATGAAGCTGAATTGAGAAGTTTACTAGATAAAGGCGCTTTAATGAGATCAAACACCTGGAAAAATCTTACTCGGAATTTTTTTACCTAACAGTTTTATAACTCTGTTTTCTGAAGATCTAATCGCTTTAATCCAAGGAAAAATGTAATAAATTCGAAAGGTTAAATGGGAAGTAATTACAATGCCATTCGATTTAAATTCCTTGGTCAAAGATTATCATTATAAAATCTTATGCTATATATGCCTATACAAATGAGTCCAGGGAATATACACAGGATATACAGAACAAACAGTGATTTAAATACAGCAGTAACATTGGTAACATTAGTAATTTATTTATTGTATTATTTGTTTGATTGTTATTATTATTCTTATTAATAGTAGTAGTAGTAGCCGTAGTAGTATTCTTCTATTTAAATTAGATTTCTTATTGTGCATAACCGGATGCGCACAATACTGTAGATATACATTTCTTACTTTTAGGCAAATTTAAATAAAGCAAAGGTTAAGGTTTTACACAAAATCACTAGTAACTGCGGGTTTCAAAGAACAAAGCATTAAATCCGCCGCTATGAGGAGTAGATGGGCTAACAGAGCATTGGATGCCATTTTTAATGGTCTTCGGTTTATTGAGACTGTCAGCGTTGGACAGCGCATATCAATTTAAGCTAGAGTGAATTTACAGAGAAAAGTTAATTGCCTCCCATAAAAGACAGATTAAAGATAAACCGAAATGTCAATCGAGGAAGAAACAGAACACTTATACACAAAGAGCAATGGCTAAATATAATCAACATTCCCGCTACATCCAACTCAACAACGAAACAACTTATAAACATGCCTGTTCTAGAAAATACTACTACAACCAACATATTAATACTACTACAACCAACATACTAATACTATACTACAGCCACTACTAACGATAACAACTACAACAATAATAATAATAGTCATGTGATAAATAGGCCTAATATTCATTGTTAATATTAACAACAACAATAATAATGATGATATTTCCAAATAAAAACTAAAAATTATTATAACTTCAACACAATAATTCTTACCGCCGCCCACGCGGTAATTTCGCCATTTATCTAGCCTCATTACATTTGGTAACTAAGTATTCAATGCTTTACTTATTTGGATTATACACCAGTTTAAATATTCTCGAAAGGTCGAATCAAATAAAGCAAATTAGCGCCAATAACGTTTTGTTAATGTTGTATAGGGAAGTGTGGCTTAAACAAAAAAGAAATTGCAAACGTGCATTACTGTAAATTGTGATTAGAGTTGACAAAATGTTACGACTGTTCGTAAATATAAAACATAACTGTAACAATATTTCTGTAACTGTAACAATATTTCAGTCAAGGCAAATTATATATGCAAATACGAAGCACAGTCATATGCTATAGGCCTACATGAATGTTACCCGACATTTTTTTTGCTGGAAGAGGAAAAAAAATCCTTTATCATAAAACTGGCAGCTAGTTTTTTTCTACACGGTTTAAGATGACCTTGCCAGTAGTCACCTGTCAAAGTAGGGCGGTGCCCCTGGAAATATGCAACTGGTCTCATGTCCCACTCTTGCAAAAAGATCCAACATCATTTTATGACAATTACTTGTAATGCACATTGACAGTAGATGAAATTAAGATGCTTGGCAATTGAAAGGGGTGCGCCACTGAAGTACGAGTCACGACGCAACTACAAATGTTTTGAATTACCAACACAACGTAACTAAGTATTAACTTGAAATATTTTAAGTTAGTCTCGTAGTTAGTCGTTTGGGACGCTTGTTCTTGAAACGTAGAATGCTGCATTTACCAGTGCGTGAAATCTCAAGTATACGCTTAACGGACCTCCAAGGAAGCGCATCACAACCACACTGTGGATAATCGGAGTCGCGAGACTTAACATTGATTCCTTTAATAATGACACGAGACTCTATACTGCTATCAAAACGGTGTCCGATTTAGGATTTAAATAAGATACAACAAAATACATTTAAATGATGCATATAATATACTATTGCCTGTAATGGATTTAAATATTGACTTAAAAACTACGTTCAAACAACAGGGAAAACGTCCCAGCATCTGATAAAATATGCAGTGGTCGAAGTCTGCTAGTTTATACTGCGCACGTTAAATTTGATGTAATGTTTAGTGTGCGACAAAACAATCATGGGAAGACACAAAACAACGCGCCAAAAGAAAGCAAAAACAAAAACTTCAAAATACTGAATTCGACATTTTTTCAGTCGACCACGGACAGGACGGATAGGACGGATAGACAGATAAATAGATAAAAAATATTGATTTGGTGCCACAAGTCTGGTCTGTCTCTCACAGTGTTCACTTCTCGGTTTATGTCCGCCAAGGTCCATCGTCCTGTGCAATTAAGGGAAAACAACGCGTTCACCATTGCGCGTTGTTCGGGTTGTAGGAGGACAACCAAAATCAATGTATGCATGAAATTTCAGTAGCGGCTAGTAGCTAAAAAATTAGGCAGCGATATGATAATACATTTCACAATATTATAATAGTGAATTTTTCCAAAGAAGAGAGAAATTGTGTTTTGAAATGACGTTTGAGTAATTTCAATACAATTCGTTTCATAATAGTGTGTCAGAAACAGAGCCGGCACTACCCCCTAAATATCAGTGGTCGAGCCGCCTCTGGTATGGATTAAGGTCACTCACAGGCAAAGCAAACATAACCCCCTGAGACCCAAGGAAAAAAAGTGTCCTTCATTTTTAGGGTATTTGTCTTTGGAGGAAATAAGACATCTTAAAATTTTGATTTTTTTCTAATTTATTTTTATTTTTAATTTCACAGCGTGTCCTCTTTAGTGTACAACAGGAATAAATATGTTTCCTTACATCAGTGAAAAGATAGATGCAAAAACAAAATGTCCACTACAATGGACATAAATGAATGGGTGGGGTCTCAGGGGGATAAACTAGGATAAGTCACAGTAAATGAACATCTCCAACTTCACCTTGCTGTCCCTCACCTTCCCACATGTCTACGGTATACTGACGGAATTCAGTTCATTAGCTCCGCACGTTTCTAGATACTTGGGATTTCGTCAGAATATTATTTAAATCGTTGTGGGCGTAATAATGAAGTACACGTCAAATGCAGGTTGACAAATAAAACTATACCCATTACATTGTATGTTTATTTGCGAGGACTACCAAAAGAAACATTTGACATACATGTATGTAAAATAACATTTATCGCAGATTTTTACAATTTGATTTTGTTACGCATATATCCAGTGCTTATGTCTGTGTTTGGTGTTTGAGTAGTTGTATATCATTTGATATAATTAATAACGTTTAATTACAGAAAAACAAGAGCAGCCGAAATATTTAATACTCTCAGCTCACCGCAAACGCAACGAATAGGGAGCGATAATAACAGTTAATATAAATAACTTTACTCACAAAATAGCCATTGCTTTTGACGGATCGTGTTTTGTTGGTGTTTCAATCGATTAAAACAGTACTGTCCCGCATCATTTGCGGAAACGCATCTGGAACGAAAAAGCAAAAAATAAAGGCAGTCGAGGGAATTAAACGGGGTATATTTTAAAAGTCAAGTAAATAAATTACTAATAGCAATTCTAAAATACATAAGCTGACAGAAATGAAAGAATGGCATTTCTATTCGCATACATAACAGGCTTTGTGTAATTAAGTAACATTACTAATAAAAATAATAGTAATATTATAATAGTATGGTAATAACACTTAAAATAACACATTTAAATAACAAATACTAGTCCTATCTATATTATACAAAATTTTACAGAAAAAAAAATCCGAACGAAACAGCCTTGAGAGAGTGTCAAAACCTAGATGGAACTGACGTGGCATAAATCCTTTAACTTTAATTTTCAAACCAATATGTATCTTATCCATTCGATAGTTTAAATATTAAATATTAAAGATCACCGATCTGTTCACTACTGTTTCACCCCGTGGGACAGTAACTTTCGACGGACTTTGAAAACAATACGCGCGTATATTCTCATAAATCTTATGTTTGTCTTTCTTCACACTTGAATAAAGACAAACACCAGAGGCATCTTATATAATACAACTAAACATTCAAAAGGGCAAAGTCACTTTTTAATGCACATACGTGTGTGTCGGAATAAGGTAATTTTGAGGTCGTCCGACCAGCATGCATCGCCTATACTGACTTATCACTGAGTTTAGCTCGCGTATGATGATCTTTTGTACTGCTCTCGAGCCCAGACAAGTACCCCCTTCACAAACCATTACGAATCAACTGTGTCATAACCATTAAATTGCTCTCTCCGTGTTGCCCTTCACATTCAATCATTTATATATTCATATCCTAATTACATTAATGTCATGTGTTCAGTGCTCCCCCACATATTTACAACAAACAGGATTTTTTTTCTTTTAGGCATAGGTCTGACCTCACGCATTCATCACGTCATCTACATAATAACCAACGCCAGTTCTGTACTTAAAGTCTATACCAGGGAGTTCTGCGAAGCATCCTCTGAAGAAAGAGGCATTTTTTGTTACCAGTCTAAACCTTAAGGGGGCTTTTTAGCTTTGGGTCAGCTTGCAGTTTCTGGAAAACATCTGAATCATTTTATAACCAAACCCAGCTGCCACGGCACTGTGTGTGTGTGTGAGTGTGTATGTGTGTTCGCCTGCGGAACAAGAAGAGAGGAAGAGCAAATCTGCTTGCATCGCTCTCCAAAAGGAAAGAGAGGGAAAAAAAAGTTTGGACGTCTTTTTCCCTTCTAAGTTTTTTTAGGAATGAACGCCGAGACGTGCGTTTCATACTGCGATATGACATCCATGGATTCATATTATAGTCCGTCTACACCACAAGGTAGGGATCACCAGGCAAACCCGTTTAGGACATTCCAAGCGAGTGACACCAAATACAGTCCCACTTTCCTGACCAACAAAGGTCAGGCATACGGGGAAAAGTCGCGGAGCCCATTCCAACAGGAATGCCAGTCATTGGATGCCACTTCTGGGGAAGGCACCTTTAACAAATACCACCTCTTCATGCAGAGATCCTCTTGCAAAACTCCCCCTGAAGGAAGCAAACATCACCAAGAGAGCGGACACAACGGAGCGCTCATTTCTTGCTATGGTGAGTACCACAAAACGCGGGAGTTATACGCATTACAAAAGGCGCCGTGTTCAATTTACGTACGCGTATGCAGTTCCCTTGCATTATCCGTGGTCAGATATACCAACTTATAAAAAACCGGTATTGACAATTTAAACGGCTGCAAATTATGGGCAAAATAAGGTACTTAAATGTTTATATTTCAAGCAATACTAATGAAAGGATTCTGTAGTTCGTAAGAAGTGACGGAAAAATTTCAGCCTTCAAAATCGCTATTTTTTAAGTGCGGTTGATTTAGAGGAAGTGTGTCAGAATATAATATTTGAAAATTAAATGTCATTTCCTTAAAAATACATATATCATGTATGTTTCATTGTAAAACAGAAGCACTGTTGAAATGTGTGAAAATCTACTTTCTGAAACGTGTTACCAAAATCCTTATCCACCCGTAAATTGTGGAAATGGAATTACATTCCCACGACCGACATTTATAGAGTTACTCGGCATAATTAAAGGATTACTGTAAAAAATATATGATGTAAACGTAACACGTTACTCTCAGCATTACGACCGCCTCTTATAACAAAACAATTTCTGAGACGCATAACGTTACTGACTATTACATTTTCTCTTTAACGATTGAATGAAATTATGATTAATGTGATAATCTGCATAACAATCCTTAATGTTTAAGATGAATCGGACAATTGAATTAACGCGTTTGCAGGTATAGAATGAACGTAGAACTCCGCATTTAAGAACTTCCGTATTCTTTCAATTAAAGATCAACATTCTAAATTATTTTCTAATTAATATACAACTGCCTCTATATGTTTAAATAGGAAATATTAAAGTCTAATTTGGTTTTATGGTCCCCCCCCATAGAACACAGTGCAGATTGGTAATTTAGTTTCCTGAACAAATTTTTACAATGAAAGTAGCTTCTGGTTTAAGAAGGCCGAGGTTAAGTTAACAAGTCATCAATCAAAGTCGTGCATAAAAGACAGATAGTGATATATCCCGATAGACAACGATTAAAATACACTCACACTCCACAGCAGACTTCAATATATTAACAGGCACAGGTTATCCGTTAAAGACAAGAATAAAATTCCAGTCACATACACAATAATCAATTAACAGTAAACAAATATGCCTGAAATGGTCGAACAACAAACACGGCGTGTGAGTTATTATATGTCTATGTAATGTAATAATATAATAATAAAGTATTCACATATAATTTACACAAATAAATTATTTAAGTTATTGTTCGGTTCACACTTCTCTCCAAATTTTGATTAATTATTTAAATATAAGTTTATTTTCCATTGCGCATGCAACCGTGTTTATTACGATACCAAAAAAACAAAACAAAAAAAAAAGAAACAGCCTAAATACTCCAAAAAATTTGCAAAGAAAAAAAATACGTCAGGTCGGAAACTAACAGAATTTCAGAATTACGGAATTTTAAAATATCGCATGTTCGTGGTATTTACACACTAATCATGTCCATTAATAATAATAATAATAATAATAATAATAATAATAATAATAATAATAATAAAACAACTACGACTGTCACTGGGTGTGTCGCAAGTTCTGACAATCGATCAAAAGTATTGCAGTAATCATGAATGAACAACATTTAGGACAATAACATCCAGCCATCTTTCATAACCACTTATGCAGTAAAGGGTCGAAGTGCGGGACAATAGCAAATATGCAAAACGCTGTCATAAAATAACCGCATCGTCGTGGTTTAATGGCCTTAAGCGCACCAGATACAGAGGATGCTAAGAGTTTCATAATAAATCATATTAGATAATGTTAAATTGATGTTAAAACGCTTCTACATTTATATAATGCATTGGACATCCGAGCTCTTTATAATATAAAAATATAAAATATATACAAATTATACTATAAAATATTAAAATATTTGACATTAATTGCAGAATAAACCTCACTGGTGGCACACACGTCATAAAATGCGTCACTAATGCAAATACATAAAATATAATGAGCGACAGATCCGCACATAAAATATCTTCATTTTATTTGTGTGTGTGTGTGTGTTTTGCGCTCTTTTAATAAAACTCAGACGTGCCGAGCAACTTGCATTAACTGAGCTCAGTTAGGGGATTCCGACTTCGGTCCAGCTCGAGCGCTGGAAAATCAGTTTAAAAAACTATAAATTTAACACAACTGCCACAAAATCTAGGGCTTTGCCCAAACATGGGTGAGCACATTTGAGGGGAGACCGCAAGAAAACACGAGCTGAAACTCTGTTCAGAGGCAGGACAGAAGATACACATAAATAAAAATGATCATGCTGTCTTAGGACTGGGGTATTGCGAAACTATAGCTACGAAAATGATTTATCGCGCTGACAATTACTATAAGCTCAGCCACACTCTTTCCAAATATCTACTGTTTTGTACGTCTTATTAACAACCAAAAATGAAGGGAAATACTTTAAAATTGACATCGGTTTTGGTTTAATACTAAAGTTCGGATGTATATGTGCATATACATAAAGCGCGAAACCTCACAGAAGAATAATTAAACAGCGCCTGAAATTATAATGGAAATTGCATCAGTGAGTATAACTGTGACTCTTAAATAACCTCTGGGACCATTGGTCTGTCCGACAAACGTATTCTGGTCTAATGTTTCAAAGCGTCCGTAAACCTTGCTGTAAATGTTTGCTTTCTTAGCTAATGTCTTTTTAAATTGAAACAGAACAACATAAACACTTAGGCCTTGATTTAGCCTGACCACCGCTGCATTGCTCTGTAACGGAACGTTAGCTGCTCTTCATTAATGTAATACAGCTACTGTCAATAGTGATGAGTACATAATAATAATAATAATTATTATTATTATTACTGGTCTACCCTTCACAACCACGCCGGCTGTCCTGGCTAAACTAACAGCTGTCAATATTCATACCGTCGGTTTTTTTAATTGGGAGTTTCAATAGACTTATATATTCAGAAAGAATGAAAGTTGTATAAGTAAAACGCTTATTCTGTAGTTAAATGCGGCTGTATCTGAAATGGCTGGTACGGGCAAAAGTGAATCAAATGAATGCACCTGCAAGACAGAAATAAGATATTAAAACATTAGCCTATATTTTACAGATTACTTAAATATTTATGCCACAATGAAAAAAAAAACATTTTCTAAGAATCACCATGTTGTAGAAATTAATCCTGCTCTACGGGGTTTCTTTCACTAAAGTAGTGTCATTTGCTATCCACGTGTAACGTAGAATTTAAAGAATAAAGTCATCTGATTCAGAAATAACATTTTCCATGTGTTTCTATGCTTGGATACTCAAATCCAATCACGTTACCTCCAAATAACCCTTCAAAGAGCTTCTTAACCAATAAAACTCCGCGGTACAACCGTATCGCCGAGATAAAACGTCATATTTGCTAACGTAATTTTTATGCTCACAATTCCTGTTAAATCCTCACAGCCTTCATTATTAAACGAATGCTTTACTTTTAACGAGTGTTCAAAATATCAATTATCCGACAAGTAAAACGTTTCTTTGAACTGCAAAGACATAGTATTTAATTTAAATACAGGCTGCAGGCCTCTGTAACAAAATTAAATATTTCCAGGGTAATACAACGTTTTGCTAGTTAAAACGGGGTTTCCAATATTTCGGCAAAGTTGAGTAATTAATATAATGCACAGCAAAGCAGTTCCGCAAAGAAGGGAGGTTTAGAATTGATGTGCTCGCTTGCGACAGAAATATTTATCCGGTAATTATATGATACAATGGGATATCATGGTAAATAGGAAAATCCTTAAAATCATAACATCATCGTTGTCATTTTCATAAAAATCAGCTCCTAAAAATCCTCAATAATAAGCAACTAGCAACAGATTTTTTAAATCACACGCATATATATAATAAGCCTACATACCATGGATGGGAATATATGTACTTAATGTGTAGCCATAAAAAAGATGTAAACCGAATTTATTAAAAATAAATAGCAAATAAACTGTACCGGAGTTATAAAATGAGAAATTTAAAAGAAATTGCGTTATTTATTTGCAGATCTAAGGGCGAGAGAAATAGCGTGGTTTTGGAAGAACTTAAAATGTACCACCGCAAATAACTGCAACCCCGTTTCCAAAAAACCTGTGACGCTACGTAAAATGTAAATAAAACAGAATGCAATGATTTGCGAGACATATAAACCCACATTTAATTGAAAATAGAACAGAAACAACATATCAAATGTTGAAACAGATATTTTACTGTTTTATGACAAATACATGCTCCATTTGAATTTGATGCCAGTAACACGTTTCAGAAAAGTTGGGACAATGGCAACAAAAGACTGGAAAAGTTGTGTATTGCTACAACAAAACACCTGGTTGAATATCTCACAACTAATTAGCTTAATTGGCAAAAGGTCAATAAGATGATTGGGTATAAAAAGAGCCTCCCAGAGAGGCAGTGATCTCTGTGCAGTGAAGATGGGGAGAGGTTCACTACTCTGTGAAAGACTGCGTGGGCAAATAGTGCAACAATTAAAGAATAATGGTCCTCAACTTTATACTGCAAAGAATATGGGAATTTCATCATCTATGGTACATAATATCATTAAAAGATTCAGAGAATCTGAAGAAATCTCTGTACACAAGGGACAAGGCTGAATAGCAATATTGGATAGCTGTGATCTTTGGGACCTCAGGTGGCACTGTGTTAAAAACAGACACAATTCTATAGTGGAGATCACTGCGTGGGTTCAGGAACACTTCTGAAAACCACTGTCTGTGAACACAGTTCATCACTGCATCCACAAATGCAGGATGAAACTCTACTATGCAGAGAAGAAACCAGATCTAAACATGATCGAGAAACGCCGCTGACTTCTCTGGGCCCAAGTTCATTTAAGATGGACTGAGCCAAAGTGGAAAACTGTCCTGTGGTCTGACGAATCAAAATTTTTAATTCTTTTTGGTAATTGAGGCTGTGTCCTCCAAGTTAA